ACATTTTGTAAACTTTCGTTTGCAAGGTCATGTACAATAGGTTCTCTTCCTTCTATCTCCCTAACTTTCTTTCTAAACTCTTCACCAAATATACCATCTCTATGGTTCTGTGTAGTTCTTTGAGATAAATGTTTTCTAGAACGTCAGGTGTTATATTTCCATCAGCCATGTTCATTTCATACTGGTCCAAAATATCTGCATGTTTCATATCTTTCAATGGCATTAAAGCCGCGCTGAAAATACCAGCTATATCTGGTTCACCATTCACTTCCATTGCGTCTACAACTTCTTGGAATTGAGGTTGTAAGTTTATGAACCACCTATCCGGATTAGCTTATGACCCCATTCTCATTGTAGTTCCATAGTCTGCAGAAACAAAAGTAGGTTTGTTTCCATATTGGTTAGGTTCTGAATGAACTTTAAACAATGTTTCATTTCTATATGTTTTGGTGAAATTTAACCTTTTATTTTCACCGAGTTCAGCCAAAGATTGAACGTTATATGGTCGTAAGTAAAAAGGATTGTTGTATTGCGTACACTTTCTTTCAGTTCTTCCATTCTATGCTGAATATTTCATCTGATGTTGGAGTCTTTTGTATGTCGGCGAACATTTTTCGATATTCTTCTACTATGTCAGCCGAATTTTTCTTAGACTCTTGGAAAGATTCCATATTCCCCCCATACTCTTGTTGAGGGTCAAGATTTTCGGCTGTTCCAAATCTTCATCTAGTTTCTGTGAAGTTAGTTTCCAAAGGAGGGACTTGTTCGTTTCCTTCAGGCTCTTCTAGCTGTTGTTGCTGAACTATTTCTTCCATGTCTGGTTGTATCTGAACTTCTTCCTGTGGAGTTTCTTGTACCTCATCTGCTGGCATTTCATATATTCCGAGACCGTTTTTAACAAGTTCCCTATTTAAGCCATCCGCATTCATAACCCTTTCTTCTTTCGTTCCGTCTCTATTTTTACGCGTTTCATGAAGATAGTTGAAATTATCATTTATCTCTGACACCAAATATCTCGGAGTAAATTCATCCATGTCATTTGGATGATATATGCTATTAAATCATATCCCTTAGCGAGCTTGTATTTTCCAGGTTTGAAATTATATCCCATTTGGTGCTGAACCATAAAGCTAAATAGGTTCGGGTCAGTATTTCCTTCCTTGAACTTTCTAATAGCTTCTTTATATCTGTCACTAAAGTCAAGAGTATCTGGGTAACCATAATTTTCCTTAAGCATTTTTAAGAATTCTTGGTTTCCTTGTTCTCTACTTCTTTTATGTCCTTGCTCTGTTTGTGGTTGTTGCTGTGCAGTGTTTTGAACTGTTGGTTGTGGTGCAGTGTTTTGAACTGTTGGTTGTGGTGCAGTGTTTTGAAACTGTTGGTTGTGGTGCAGTGTTTTGAACTGTTGGTTGTGGTGCAGTGTTTTCAACTGTTGGTTGTGGTGCAGTGTTTTTGAACTGTTGGTTGTGTGTTGGTTGTTGTGTTTGGTTTTGGTGCATGCCTGTGTCTGTGTCCATGTGACGATGTAAATGTTTTAGGTAGTCCTGGTGCAGGTGCTTCTCTTGGAGGTTTGGTGGTATATAAGTTCCACCAGCTGGCACATATGTTCCATCTGCAGCATAATGTCCTACCTGACTTTTCGTTTTTAAGAAAGCATTTACTGGTCTGTTTTGGTCTGTTGTAACTCTTTTTCTTGACTTTCCACAACAGTTGCTCTAACGGCGTCATAGGCACTTTGAACTGCCTGTCTCGTTGCTGCATCTGTTATTTTCGTCATATTTTGTGCTACTTCTCTTAACTCGTTGTCGAAACCTTCAGACTTCAGTTTCTTTCCAGATGAGAAGTCGTTCACTAGTTTCACCTTACTATGAAAGAGCTTCGAAGGCGTTCTTAAAGTCAGCATTCATTAAAGCTTCATTTGAACTGTCTTCATCCGCTTGTATTTTTGTCCTTATTGACCCTATAAGTTGGGCTGCTTTAGCGTTGGCTTGGGCATCTAACCAGTCATTATTAGCTTTTATATATTCTGCGCTTTTCATTGCCTTTTGCATGGCTGCGTCGTTATTTTTACTTTCTTGTGCTAAGTTTTCATACTGTACGGTTTGGTTTTGCAACTGTAAAAGTTTTTCTGCCTTTATATTTGCTTCAACTTCTTTTTTATACTCATCGCTATCCATATATGTCTTCAGGGCTTTTTGTTTTATCTCTTCATCTTTCAGTACTTTATATTGAGTAGTATGGTTTTTCAAATTTATAACATCTTGTTCCATTTTTTGCTACTTCTGCTGCTTTTTCTGACACTTTTTTCGCATATTCCTCTGTACTTAGTTCTTTCAGTTGTTCTTCTTTCTTCTTTTTCTCTACGTTTAACTCATTGAGTTTCTTTGTGTGTCTGTCATATTCTAGTTTCTTTTCGTTTTCACTTATTTGTTTCTGTATGTCTATGTTTGACTTTTTGACATCTGTTATTTGATTTTTGAGTGAACTCAAATTCATTTGACTTTGAGGGTTATAAGCTGTTCCGTCTGCAGCTCCACCATAGCCTGCCATTTTCGCTAAAAGTGCCGCTCTTAAACCCCCACTCTGTGCACCAATAACTCGGTTTAAAAGCATAGGGTTGCTTGACATTTGTTGCAGCATAGTGGGGTCATTCATCATTTGTTGTTGCAACTGTTGTTGTGGTGTTAGTTTTACTATTGGATGTTTCAATGCTCCCTTCCTCTTTACGTATATTCTTACGTAGCTTACGTGGCATTTTAAGTGAAGTTAAAAAGCGGTTTTGACAGATGTTTATATGACACTATTGTTCAGCACAAAAAACTACTCGGTCAAAGTGTTGTCAGTTTTGTAAAATAACCGTCCTATCTCATTCTATAAGGGGAAAAGGCTTCTCAAAGTATACTTCCTTGGAACGCCTGTAACTTTTCCTGTAGCGACGATAGACCCTTACTTGTCCGGACAAAGTTATACTAAACATCTTCAGGGCTAGAGGGCACGAAGTGCCTGGAGGCCCCACTACCTTTTTTTTTTTTCCTGGATCATAAATGAGGGATTCTGATCAAGATTTCTGAGTATTCAATTTTAAAATATAAAGAAATCATTAGATTTAGTAGTACATTAATAATTTATAATAAAAAATTCTTTCACCTCTTTTCAATTATATTGGCTAAAAAGTCATTTCAAAACTGAACAATGCAGAAAAGTTTAACAGCTGTACGAAAAATCCAGAATGAATTGATCACTATTATCGATACAGCTGCATCTAGCGATCCAACGACTGAATTCGCCATTAAAAGTATTCAAGCAATAACTGATTACGTAGTTTCACATTCATGAAAACATGTAGATCAAATATCTGTGTGCTACCAATCATCAGGGTTGTATCCAGTGCTTGACGAAGTAATTAGAATCGGAAAAAGAATGGAAGGTTTCAAAAAAGACACAAGTGATGCTTGGAATCAATTGAGTAACTTGTTTGGTGCAGATGTGAAACATCCATTCTTATTAGAAATAGCTCAAGATATTGCGAATATCGCGGAAATTAAACTTGATCGTGACGCAAAAAGAAGAAAGAGTGTCTTAATCAAGTGGTATTGTGAGATACATTTAATCTGTTTTTCTTTTTTTATTTTAAATAATTGAATATTTATAGTTGTTATGGGTCTTACATCATGTAAAACGAATTTTCTTAAAGTAAATTTACTTTTTCTTCAATCTTTCTTACATATTTATTAAAAAAAATTATCCAAAAAAAGATGTTTTAGAATGAAAAAAAAAATAGAAAAATCTTCATTTATAGTCTTTCTTGAATGTATAAGTTTTGATTTTTTTCTTTTTTAAAAAATTCAATTTCTAGAAAAATCGAGAAAAAAATCATTTTCTTCTATTTTTTAGGACGCCATACCCATTGAAATCTCCTCTCAGGACGCCATAAACTATTCAATTATGGTGTAAACTTCTCAAAAATTGAATAGTTTACATCAGGACGCCTTAGGACGCCAACCCTTTACGCGCCCTTTTTTATGTTTCCAAGGTTAGCCATTAATCAGGAAAGACTTCTGCCTCACCTTCTTGATAACAAACATGTAAGGTATCACGGTTAGTGGTATGGAATCTCAGAATAAGATTATAATCAAATTGTTCTTCAGAATGCGTCGTCTTTTTAAAAACTTCAATGAGAGCATCATCTTTCGGATGAACGCATTCTGCTTTATATGAAGTTAGATCTATGGATGTGATAGTGAAAAATATATCAAACTATATCTATAATTTTTGTAGTCTATGTATATTCAAAACTATAATTATCATGTCTGAGATTTTTCAAATTTATTTGAAAACAATTAATTAGTATATTTGTCCCAAACCAAACACACAAATAAACTCATTGGTAAATCAAACACAAAAGAAAGAATTTGATAAATATTTTATATGAATATGAAATATTTTGACATCCTGTTAAGAATTAAGATTTCTACACCTCAGAGCTGATATAATTGTGATAGTGTAATAAATTGTTGCAAACTTTAGAAACAGTATGATGTTTTTGCATATCAATACTTTAGATTGGAATGCATTAACTCTGAAATCTGTAATATTTATTGGCAGTGAACCTATTGAATTCATTAATGTGGAGGAGCAAATAAGAATGATTTTAAGAAGCAACAGAAAAAGAAAATAAAATGTGACAAATAATTTTCTAAAAAGTAATTTTGAATTGATAATTAGATTTTTGAAACAAATTTTGAGATAACGAATTATTATATGAATACATAACGAAATGATAAATATTGTTTTCGATCAAGGTTGTTCAATTTTCGGATTTAATAAGTATATAAAAATGTTTTGTGATTGAATACAATACAAAATAGTATCGTAAAAATGGATAAAGTTTAAACTTAAAAAATTATAAATCCTTTTGTATGAATATTTAGCGAATCAACGTTTATACTCTGAAAAATTTAAATGCATCATTAAAATAACCCTCTCAAAATTATCTTTTCATGTTTCATATTAGGCCAATTCCAAGTAATAAAAAAATCAATCCATTCAAACTGAAATCACCCATACTTCAAGTTGCTTCTAAGCCGAAGATCTCAAGCTCAGGTTCTTTTCGCTTAAAAACATTAGAACCAATAGATTTAACGCAAACAGATATTCTTGACAGCGAAGATAACGAAATATTCACAGTTAAGATTTTATCTAACTGGGGAAATCCAACTCATATCTGTTGCTCTTATATGCAATTTTTATCAAACACGAGACGCTCAATAAATCCTATTAAAATGATGTCAGTACCAAAAACTGATGAAAATTTTCTACAAAAGCTTAATGGAGATATTGTTAAACCAAATGAAGACATGTGGAGAATTAATTGGCCACCAGATGAAGATGATACATTCTCAATTATATTTGTATTCCAAAAACATCAATCTCCATCTTTTATAAGAATATGGAATCCTCAGGAAAATTTAGATGAATCAATAAAAGATATAGAAATCTACAGTGGCAAAACATTAATCGGCAAAGAGGAAATACCAAAAGGATTTGGAAAAGATATACGCACAAGAGCGCAAGAAGGAGGAAGTATTAAATCTTCTCAATCAATGCAATTTATTCAACAGATCTTCCCGCAACTTGCTCCTAATTCAATGGCACCAGTTGATAAATACGGATGTTTTCCTGTTTTCAAAGTCAGAAAAATTACAATTGAAGTATTAAGCAATTACGGTAATCCAAACGTTTTTGGACTTGGCTCAGTGGGTTTAATAAATGAAAAGGATGAATATGTTGTTCGTGATGATATTAATAGAGTTGTTGTCGAAAATTGCTCAGATTTTTCAGATCCTCTACAATTAATACCGCAAAATAAAGGTATTCCTGAAAAATGCACTTTTGTTGCTCATTCAAATTTCGAAAAACACCCTTCATTAACATTCTATCTTGAAAATGTAATAATTCTCAAAAGAATCATCTTAATTAATTTAGATGTTGGACCAAGTGGTTTTGATTGTGAAGTAAATCATTGTAAAATCTATACGAATGATAAATTAGAATGGGTTGGCAAACTACTCTGCACAAGGCCCAAGGATGGTGTCAGACCCCAAAACTGTAGAATTTATATCACTCCTCATCTTAATCCATGAATAAAATGTTTTGTTCTTATTTTTCAATATCAAAGTATTTTCAGTTAATTTTTATCAGAGCACATACTTTTATAACGCCATTGAGTGCATATACCTATTTGTGCCGAAACCACAAATACATATTGATGCCGAAATTTAATTGTGATATTTTTATCACTATTAGACAGTATAGACATATTTAGCTTGTTGATAAGTAAAGAAAATTATTGTTAAATCCTGTTCAGATCATATGATCAAATTTTATTTTTTCATTCGTTTCAGATTGTAATCTTCTCTCTTATAAAGTTGTATGTATTGTTAATAAAAGAGTTCGAAGGTAATTGCAATGATTTTTATAACATAAAAGACTGTTTTTGCCATCAATATTGTCATAAAAAGGTAAATTAGCCTAAAATTTTGTATTTCACAATATTTTACTCAACATAATATAATCATAACATTTGGAAGTGTAATCTCAAACAGTCATTACAAATCAATTTGTGCTTTAAAAGCTTTTCGAAAAGGCTCGTGAATTGTGGTAACTGGCTCATAAGCTTGCATGTCTTTGGTTCAATTAAGGATTTTAAGATCTTTCTGAATGAAATTAATTTTTTTTTGTTTTCTTATAATAAGGTTCAAATTTAGCAAGGTTATGCTTCAATCACAGGCTTTTGTTTCGACTTGTGCTTGTTAAGTTGCAAAGTTAAGATATTTCCATTCTTATTAAAAACGCAATCGTCTCCAAGAGTATAATCACGGATATACTCTTTTACAATGCTCCAGTTTTCATCATACTGTAATAAACAGAAATTCATCAAAAGTGACAGCTCTCAATTTTTTGACATTTGTAAATTCTAAATTGAATGAGAAAAATGAAATAATACTAAGCATAATACAATATTCTAGATTTAATTATAATTAGGAAAAAGTTAGTTTTGAGAGTACTTTTCATAGGCATATAGAATGAAATCTTCTGAAAAATAATATCACATAAACTCATATTATTTTCTAAATATAACTATTTATATAAAAATCAAATTCAATGATCTTAAAAGCGAAGGATAAACCTCAAAATTTACGAATATAATGAGTGGGAATATAATGCTTATCTATCATAAAACCATATGAAATATCAATTTTTGCTTTACGCCTAATTTTTGACGACAATTAGCAAAAAATGTTAAATGTTAACACTCAGTCCATTTGAATATGAAAAATAAAATTGACTTTGATTAAATGTTTTTATTTATCATGCAATTCTTCTTGCGACCAAAGATTTGAATAAAAGTTCAAAAATAAGATAGCTTAAAAATAATATACGGTAGTGTTTACTAATAGATGAATAGTATATAAATTCTATTAAAATGGATTTGATCCAAAAAATAATATAAAATTTGATCATAAATAAAATCGTTTTAAATTACTTCTTCATTTAAATTATAACAATTATTTTTGGTTTTATATTTTTTTGGATCAAATCCATTTTAATAGAATTTATATACTATTCATCTATTAGTAAACACTACCGTATATTATTTTTTAAGCTATCTTATTTTTTGAACTTTTATTCAAATCTTTGGTCGCAAGAAGAATTGCATGATAAATAAAAACATTTAATCAAAGTCAATTTTATTTTAAAAAAAAAAAAAAAAGGTAGTGGGGCTTCCAGGCACTTCGTGCCCTCTAGCCCGAAGATGTTTAGTATAAATGAAGTTTTTATTCGGAAAATTGTTAGTCTTCTGGTGTGAATTCGGAGGACTCTTCTTCTTCCTCCATTGCTTCTGGAAGAAGCCTTCTTCTGGGTCGAAAACATTATATAATGTGTCGCTTTTCACAAATTATATATGTTTTCATGCTTTGTCACTTTTCTGTCACTTTTCGGGTAAAAACATTTTTATTATTATATATAAATGAATTTTACAAAACCTCCGTTACCGTTCTTTGGAAATAAGAGTAAATGTAAAGATATTATATTGAGAGAACTTAAGAAACTACCGAATGGTCTAACATTTGTAGATTTGTTCGTGGAAGTTTCTATATATCCCATTTGTGCCATACAATATTCCCAGACTCAAAGATTATATGCAATGACTTCGACAACTATATGGACCGTCTCAAACATATACCAGACACAAAACAATATATTGAAAGAGTTAAAAGAAAAGATACCATAGGTAAGATGAACGTATACCATTAGATAAGAAAAATATTGTGAGAGAGGTTTTGAAAAAAGCAATATATAGACTGGGATAGTATATCTGCTAGACTATTATATAGTGGTGCTATAAGAGTTCATGACATTGAAACACTTATGTCAAAAGTTTTATATCTTAACTATACAAATGTTTTCAAAGAGGACATAGAAAATATATTGAGGGTATAGAGTTTGTGAGATGTTATTGGACAGAGTTGTATGAAAAATATAAAGACAAGGAAATGTTTTCTTTATAGTGGACCCACCGTTCTATAACACATGGGATTTTCAATACCAAGTAGACTGGACTTTGAGAGACTCTTTAGAAACTTTAGACGTTTTACATAACCATCCATGCTTTTACTTTACATCCGATAAAAGTGGTTTGGAAACCGTTATTGAGATGGTTAGAGGACATACATGACTATGAGTTTAGATATGACAAGATAGAATATGAGAGAGGTCCTATAAACTGGGAGAAAGTGTCATAACAAAGAAATTTTATTAGTAAGTAAATGTGGTTTGAAATAGGACTACTTGTTTTAGGTTTTTTCCATTGTGTCATTTATTTCTTTGACGTGGCAGAAAAGTACAGAGAATATGAAGATGAACCAATGCCTGCAAATGTTCAGTATATGTACTCGTAAGAGATATTTTATCTAATATTAAATGGACGCACAGAACTTAGCGAATGCACAGCAACCTGGACAACCAAACCCAGAGAATATTCCAAATGAAGTTAGAATACAAACTGAATGGCAAACTATGGTCAAGTGCCAACAGATGTACAAATGCAAAACTGCCATGTCAAATGACGCTGCGTTAGGTTTGCCACCATGGTATGCAAATATGAGATGGAAAGAGTTTTATATACAAACCCTGAAGTGGGATATAAACAACTTTATGCAGATGACGCGAACACAGGGTTGACCCAGAATATGTTTTCTACCAGAGGAGAAACAGAATGTATGAGCTCCAGTTAAAGAATGCTATGGAACTCAACAGAAACGTAAGAGACTAGGCGGACATTAGATTTTTACATATAGTAAAATGGGTTTCTTCAGTAAGATAGGAAACTTCTTTCGAAATGTTGGAAGAGGTATATGGAATGGAAATAAAAACCGTAGGAAGAGGAATTTGGAACGGTGTCAAATATTGGTAAAAGGGTAGGTCAGTTTGTTGGTATTATACCTAAAGACCCTGAACCAGAAGAGCAAGCTCCTGTTATACAACAGCCTGAACCTGCACCACAGTCTAGTTGGCAACCAAATCCAACACCTCAACCGTATTAAAAAATTATATTTTTACCGTTCGATAGTAGTTGTATATGAAACTAAGTTCAAGTAAAACGCATGGTATAATGGAATTATTCTTTTTCTTCCATCTGTAGTAAACCATACTTGAAAGTCTGAAAAATACTTCCACTGGTGTTCGTATAATCTTTGTAGGTTTTTCGTAAAAGTCATTCATCAGACATAAGAAAGAGTTTTGCGCACCAGAAATGAAGCATGAACAATAATAGCATCTGGGTCGAAAACATTTTCATATGTTCCATTAGGGTTTTCGACTTCATAAAAGTCTGGGTGTACTGATATGCTGCAGGCTGATTTAACATCCTCATAAATCTATACCATGCCAAGTTGTTATATTTTGTAGAAATATAAAACGTTTTCTCCAAGGTCTTCTATTCTATTGATTTTAACAGTTGCATTTTTTCTGTCATAAATAATATCGAGATGGTATTCTCCCTCGTCAATGTTATACTGTTTTGCATATTCGATATAGATATCGTTTATTTTTTCTTGAAAAGCTTGAAGAGTTGTTTCTAAGTTTAACAAGCAAACTAACTTGTAAAAGTTTTCCCTGTTCAAATTTCTCATACATACGTTTTCTTTGTTATAGTATCGAACTTCAAAACGACCGTAAATGGGAAACCATGTATGGCTTCTGAAATGAACTTCATTTCACGAAAGCCAATAGCTTTTGTGACAGATGGGTCTCTTAGCCATCTTAATGGGTAGTCAAAACGATAGCCTTCATGCATTACGGTCTCTGTCTCAAACTTTTGACCGACATTAGTAAAAAGTTCATCTAATGGTTTAGTTGTAGCAACTCTTGAATTTTCTTTTTCTATTGAAAGCATATTTTATCTAGAATAAAATGTCGAAAGATATTGCTTCCATGAGAGAAATACAAACACAACGACAACTCATTATGCAAGCTCTAAATAAGAACACAAACAAACTTTTCAAACTATTCTAAGATATCTGAGTCATTGAAAGAAGGAAACTTAAAACTGACATTAAACCCAATGACAGATGAGTTTCTGTTTCAAGACAATAAGAACCATACTGTCTGTATAAATCCAACAAAAGGAACTTTAAACGAGAAACCTATAAATGAACTTCTTTTGAAAGCAGATGTTGACAACAAAGCTGACAAAGAATATGTAGACGATGCAATAGCAAAAGAAGAAGAAAGAGCTAACAATGCTTATGCAACAAAAGAACATACTCATCCTGAACTAGCAGACAAAACATATGTTGACAATAAAATGTCAAGTGAAGTGACGAGAGCTGAAAACGAATATTCTAAAAAGACTCATACACATTCTATATCTGAAATAACAGACTTACAAGAAACCTTAAACAGTAAAAGTGCCGTTGGACATACACATACCATTGCAAATATTACAAACTTACAAGAAACCTTAAACAGTAAAAGTGACGTTGACATACACATACCATGGCAAATATTACAAACTTACAAGAAACCTTAAACAGTAAAAGTGCCGTTGGACATACACATACATCTTCTGAAATAACCA